CTCTGCTCTACTTGATCTGACCCCAAAGGTGAAAGTTAATATAATTCCTTTTGAGAGCTGAGTGAGGGCAGTGCTTTTGTGCTCTAATGGTGTTCTAGTGTGCTCAGGTCAGAAGTCCTCAAGTTAGGTTTAAGCACATGGAGCAATCTCTGTTCTCCATGGGATGGGTATTTCTGTACGTAAAAAGTAAAACAAATGCCGCAAACCTTTGGAAATACCCAAACGCAGAGCCTGTTGGCGGAGTTAGGGACTGGCTTTGGGTTTTGTGACTTGTCTGCCAGGCTGTTGCCTGCCGTGGTGGCTGCAGCCTGCTTTCCCTCCCCAGTGCACGCAGGGGCTTCTCCCCAGCCTGGCCAGGAGGCAATACGCCCGACAGAACAGCTGTGTTGCTTGGCCCCAGTGGCTGGACCGTGCTCTCTTCATGTTGGTTACTGAAGTGGATCTTGACTGTTGAGTGCTGGGCGAAGAACAGGAAATTCTTTGTGAACTGTGACTGGTTTGTAAGCAGTGCTGGTGGTGGGAGGGGAAATGCCCTTTTCCGTGGAAAGGCACTCCCAGGCAGCACTTGGAAGCACTCACCTTGAAATACATGATTAATGTTCCTGCAGGTGCCCTGAGCATTGGTTCCATCTCCAAATGTCATTCTCTAAATAGGCCACTTCAACGTTCAAGTAGCTCGTTAATGTCTATCTAGGGAGCAGAGGACATGGGTCTGTGTGGATATTTGTACAAGCACCTGCAGCCTCACGCTTGTGACTCTTGACCTGCTCCCGACACAACATTAGTTCTGTGCGTGCAAGATGGATCTAGAGATTGGGGCAGAAAGGCAGGCAGCCAGCTCTTGTGTGCCGTTAAGTTGAGCTGCTGCATTTTACTGGTTCGTAGCTCTCCCTTCAGCTCCTGGGTGGACACCAGCAAGTGCAGTACTTTGAGAGACTCACCGGTTCTGCACTGTGCTTAGTGATCTGACAATGGGACACACAGGAGAGTTTTAAAGTAGGACAGTAATGACATGACCAGGCGATGAGCAGGTGCTCTGGATTGCTGCCACCAGGTTTTTATCTTGCTGTGATTTGATAGCATCTCACTGGATACTTTTTTTTTTTTTTACTGTTCTAAAAGTCAATTGTCACAGCAAGAGGAAATGTAAGAAGTGCCATCAGGAGATGGGATTTCAGGAAACAGGAGGTGACCTGGCTGTAATTAGGAGGAGAGCTCTCCCTTGGGTTCTCTCTAGGGTGCAAGCCTCTGGTTGCTGGTCTGCTGACACGAGGCGAAGTCCTGCCATGGGCTTGTGGACAGCCCCCTGGGTTCTGCTGAAGGCGGTGGAAGAGCTTCTGGCGAAGAGGCCCCCAAAGACTTACCTGCGTATCCATCTCCTAAAAACAGAAGTGTGCTTTGAGACGGGCAGGGTGAATGTCACCGCTCAGATTGAGAGAGACAGTAAAGGCACGTTGGCGTGCAAATAAACTTAGAGGCATTACGGAACGGTTAGGGAGGAAGGTTGCCAAGCAAATTGACTCGCAACAAAGGTTAGGAAAAAGTGGTGTAGTTTGTTAGTGAGAACCCAGCCTGAGAACTGGATGGTCCCTGAGTCAAATGCCATCTTTGAGCACTCTTGATTATACTTCACATTGGTGAAAAGCAAAACTCTCAGATGAGCAAAAAAAAATGCAATGTTTTGGAGTAGAAAGTGTTGGGCGCTTTTTAAATTTTAGGCAGAATTTACTGCTATGGATTTTAGCCTCCCAGTCACTGAAAGCTGAAAGTGCAAATGCTCTGAACTTTGTGTTTGGTTTTTTATTTAATGCTTGGGGTTTTTTTTAATGCTTCTTCTGATATGAAAGAATTGTGATTTTTGTATTGGCATTTTGAAATATAAATATATATTAGAGTTTAAAGTTTTTATCACAGCCTCATTTAAAATCCAGCAGTCTTTATCAGAAATACTTATTTAGAGTGGCTTCTGCCTGCATGTATTTAAAACACCGCTTGTTAAATTTCTAGAATTTTTTTCTTGAAAAATATGCTTGCTTTTTTTTTTTTTTTTAATACGGTAGTCATGGGGAAGCCACAGCTTCTGCTTATGTGTTTACTTCATTGCTGCTCTCCTTATCCTCCCACCTTCTATTTCCAAGAGAAAAGGAAGTACAGCATTAGGGAGATACGCTATTTTCAGTGAAACGAAAGGCGTCTTTGTTTAAACAAAAAGCAGAAAAAATGTTAGATTTCGAACTAAATAAATTGTGTCCCCAACTTTCTGTGCATTCGGGGGGTAAATGTGGTTTTTTGCTTGTTCTAGGTATGTGGTATATAAATAGAAGACTTCAGGGAAACTGTTTAGTAATTTGAGAATAGCCTTTGTGGGCAGTTGTAAAATATATACCTAAATGTAAAAGAAATCTAACTGGGGCCAGAATGACACATTCATACATGCACACACGTATCTCAGTATGACTGGTAGTAAAGTACGAATAGACCTGTAGGAAATGGCCAGCAATGGCTCTTACCTCATGGCTGCACTCCTTCTGTCTACAGACGGCTGCTGAAGAGTGAACTTGGATCCTTCATCACAGATTACTTCCAGGTATTGCACGATTTGCTTGCTTGCTTTTGAGGTTTGCTCTCTTCAGCTTTTTAGCCTATAAAAGAATTAGGACCCCTTTTTACATGCACTTAGCTTACAAGTTTCGTTTTTGTTTTGCTGCAGATGATGATGGAGGTACTGGACATTTTTGACGGGGGCCATATAGCTTTGGGATTGATCATATTGATGGGAGTATGTGCTAAATTAAGGATAATCTTCCTTTGCACTTAAGAAAGGCTGCTGGTAGCCTGTCAGGGTCAAGATGGAATTCACTTGAACTTTTTGAAGACGATGGATACCTTGTCATAGTTTTTTTCACCCTATTTCTCTAGTACAGAGAATTTGGGAGTAGGTTTTCTGCAACAGGGCTCAGCAAAGGGGAAGAGGAAAGATAACGGCTGTCTGTTTTGGGGGGGGTGAGGGGGCAGAGAAGGAAGTCCCTATCAGCAGGGAATCAACCTGGGGGCTGTTTGCCTTTTAGTCCCAAAAATACAAATGCAACCTGTGAAAAAGTGGAAGATGAAGGATGAGGGAAGACCCGATCAATCACAAATGTGCATAAGTGTTATTGGCTTTTGCTGATGCTGTCCAGATTCGAATGTAACCACATGAAAGTGGGTTGGATGATTTTGAGAGAGCACTGATGTCTTTCAGTGTGACAAGTTGTTCAGTGTAGTGCTCATTAAAAACAAGAAGGAGGCTGCAGAAAACAAGAGGGTTTTCTTCCGTTTGAGTGAAAAAGAGAGAGAAAAGTTCAGTACTTTCTGAAGTGGCTGATGCTGCTGCATACTGTACTAACAGCTTAGAAAGGGGACAAAGAAAACTGAGTGTTGTTTCCTATCGCTGTTAGATTACGTGACTTAAAATATCCCCCACGCTGCTCTATCAAGTGAGAAGCAAACTCCTGCACCCAGGGTAGTTACGTTTCACTTCTTTAAACCCTATCTGTCTGCACAAGTCATTTACTGGAAAGAAACTGCTGCTGGTGCTGAATGGTGGGACGTTTCCTAGATGTGAGAGGGGTCTGTGGCTGGCAGAAAGGCTGTGAGCCCATAGCACAATGTGTCTGGCTTAAGTGGAAATCTGCTGCTGCTCCTGCTAATTTAAAAACAGGCACACGAAAGTTTGCAACTAAATATATATGGCAAATTGAAATTTGGAAGGTCTTGGCCAGGTACCCAGGTACAACGGTGTTAGACACGGTGTGCAAGGCTGGAATAAGCAGAAAATGTACGGAGCCAGCTTCACGCACCTGTAAGCCTGAAGGGAGTGTGGAACTGAGCGCGGTCCCGAGGGACACAAGGTGCTGACATACAGCTGTTACCTGGTGTTGGAAATTCAGTGTGCTGAAAGAGGCCTGGGTGGGTTCCAGCCCTGAATAAGATTCAGCTGCACTGTGTTGCTGTGCAGGAGGACCCCATGACTGCTGGGGACCAGGTGGCTTCCGGCGCTGGGGTCTGGATGTGTTCTCTTCTCCTTCCAGCCTGTAAACCTCAAGCCTCTCACAGTCACGCTGGAGCTCATGGCATTAGCAGAACTCAGTTCTCTTAGTAGTAGAGCTGACAACTGAAGAGTGCTTAGACTGCAGCCAGCTCGCTGCTGAAGGCTGGGTATCTGTGTTGCATCCCTCTTAGCAAGCTGAGGGCATCTGATCTTGTCCTGGGAGAAGGATCTGATCACCAGCACTATTTTCTGCACAAGCAGGAGTGAAAACTCTGGTCTTTCACCCTAATGGCACGGCTGTGCTACTTCAGCCACAGGCTTGCCATCGCAGTGTAGGTGCTCGGCAGTTCCTGTTCTTCCACTGAAGCCACTGGGACTCAAATTTAGTTTCTGGGGTTTTTTTTGCTCGATGTTAAAAAGAGTAACTTGGCATCCATCAGATTTAGCCTGAAGTAAAGCTCTTGGTGCTGGCAAGCAGTGAGATGAGCTGTGAGATAAAGGCTATTGTAGGAAACGAGCCTTTTTCCCTGCTGTGAGCAAAGATGCAGACTTCTTGAAGGCTGACAGTGTGTGGCAGTGAGAAAAGTTACCACTCCCTCCTGAATGTCTTTACTCAAAAATCCTCAGGCCGTGGAGTGGGGAGAAACTATTCATGTGCCAAAGAAGGGTTGACAACATTATTTCATTTGTCTGTGGGTTCAGTTTTGCTGCTGATGCCTGCTGATTTACGGCAATACTGCTGCCACCAAAATGAGCCGAGTTGAATCAGGCTGCTGATTTGGCTGAAAAATAACCTGTCAAGAAAACACAAATTTTTCAGCTACTTCCTTTGACTTGTTGTCCTCATCACCGCTGGCATGGGGGAGGTGATGGGAGCGGTTCACCAGGATGGGGAGTGAGTGAAAGTGCATCTTTTGGCAGTGGATTCCTCTTCCATCTGTGAAAGCCTACTGAAAAGCTATCCTGAGAACCAAGTTTACTGTCCTCTTAGGTTGAAATGGACCTTGAAGGATCTGCCTTCATCTGTAACCAGGCAGCTTTAAATATCCTAGCGCAATTAGAGCACTAACTGAATCATGTAATATTTAGATGTGATAAATTGACTTAAATGTTTTCCATTTCTTATGCCACAGCACTTGAGCCATGGAGATAATTTTTAAAATCACATTTTCCATTTTAAGAGTTCTAGCTCTTACATTATGTCTATTTTATACACACACACAATTTTTCTAACCACTGAATATTTAAGGCTAAAATGGAGCAGAGCTTTTATAGTGAGACAAATCGACCTCTGTGATCAACTTGACTTGATTACTCACAAGTCCTTTTCACCAATGCTCGTGCAAATTACCAGTTTTTAGCTCCTGAAGTTGCTAAAGTAATGTTTAGGAAACGGGTGGGGTTTAGACAGTCTTTCTCTGCTACCAAACCATCACAATACCTGAGTCACTGAGTCTGTTTTGTATTTGAAAGAGAAATGTAATTCCTGTAAGGGTTTCGGTGGGAACTTGGATGTTTCATTCTGAAGGAGATTTGTGTTTATAACTCTGATACTTTAGCAACCCTATTATATATACAAGCCATCTCCTTGGATTGGGGTCTGCGTGTAAATGCCAGATAGCTGGGACTTGTAATATTTACTGCAGATCTGCCTGAAAGCAATGCTCCATGCTCCAGGTTTTCCAGTGCTGATTTTGCCCATGAACTGACCTGACTTTCTGCGCACCCCTCTGCTCAGTAACCTTTGGAAAGGATGAACTGTTCCTTTTCACTCTCTGGGGGCTTGTTAATCTTGAAACTCAGGGGAAAACAGAAATGCTAGCTATTTCACAGCTAACCACTTTAGCAGAACTGCCCACTTTATGCGTATTAACTCCAAACTGTCTCCTCCTGAGACGGAGAGACCCGATCCCTTCCTAGCTACTGTAACCTCTCCTGCACTATGGGCTGCAGATGCAGAAGGTCAGATGCCCAGAGCTGACACCTCTCCAGCCTGATGTCCACTGTCTGCACTGGCAAAGCTGGTAGGTGAGGGACGGCAGATGGACTGTATTTCCTCATTTCATCCCCCTGTGAGAGCTTTGACATCTTAAAACCAGAAGCGAAGCTGTTACATAATTTGCAGCCTGCGGCCACGCAGAGCTGCGGGAGGCAGCAAGTCCTGACTCAGAATTGGGCCTGGCTTTCTGTTTGTATGCTAAACTGGGGAAACCGCAGCGTGCGGGCGCCCGTGCCACTGGGATGTCAAGCAAAGTCAGAATAGCAGGATGATAAAGTAAGCAGCAGCAGCAATGAGGCCAGCCTGGATCCAAGCCAAAACTGATTTTTGTCCTCTCCCTTTAGAGCAGTCAGAAGTGGGGCTGGTGAGCCTTCCCGTGAGCAGGATCCCTCTCACTGTAGGTTAGCTGGCTGGGCAAGGTGGCTGCAGTGGTGGGGGAAAACACCCCCTCCTCCCTCTGCTGTGGCACTGTAAAGCTTTTGCTTAAGTCCCTGCTGCATGTCTTTCAGGGACTCCAGCATCTCTCGTGATGCTTGCTGTCCTTTGAAAGGCTGTTTTTAAAGCCACGCTAACAGCTGAAAACGCTGTGTGTCCCCCTCTCCTGTTTAGTCAAAGAGAAAAAAAAACTGGTGCGTGTGACATTTCTTTCCTTGGTGCCAGGTTTTCTACTTCTACCTGTTTTGCAGCAAGGCGAGGAAATAATTGTGTGAGTCATGGGAGCGATGGTTATGGACATGTAACAGCAGCGCTGGCTCTTCTCTGGCCAAGTGCTGCCTCGTGCCTGCTGCCAGGGGCTGCAGCAGCTCGGCCACTGCCCAAAGGGAGAGAACTTGCACTTGTGTGACTTGCAGAGCTCAGCTGTGTGTCTGCAATAGTCTTTTGGGTCAAGCTGGTCTTTATCGTTGTATTTCTTTCCTCGCTGGCTGGGAACCCCTGTTCTTGCAGGTCTGCTAATTATTTCTGCTTCACCTGGCACTTTCTAGGACTGAACCACCTTGGAGCAGCTCCAGAGACTCCATAGCAACTGCCCAGCTTTGTTATCATGGATGGGGTCACCCAGCAGCTCAGCCCCGTCACTGCCAGCTGAGCAGAGGACCTGGTCCTGGATGGCAGCGGCAGCAGGGACACCTCCTCTCAGGCCCTGTGCCCGTCGGCTCCGCAGGCTTGTGTGATTCAGGCAGAATGGTGCCCAGTTGCTCCCGCTCGAAGCGCCAAGTGGGGCACCATGCCGTGCCCTGGCTAAGCAGGGCTCCGGCCTGGAGCAGTGCCACAGAGCTAGGGCCCAGCCATGGGGCTTTCCCATAGCTGCTGCCATGCTGGCGTGCGGTGGTCTAGACCATAGCAGTGCTGCCTGCTCAGTCTGCCCACCCCGCTTGCTGCCTTACCCTCCCTGCCTCACTTTCTCCCTTTGAGCAGGCTTTATTTTTTATCTGCTTTGAACAAAGCTGTCTCTAGAATAGTAATTTTAGCATGTCATTTCATGTTTGTCTTATGATTTGTTCTCTACATAGGATCTAAATGATCTCTGTGTTTCTGTCGCGATTCCCCCTCTTTCTAGAGGGGGAAAAAAAAAAAGAGGATGCAGGGGAATGCTCCAGGTATGGGATGCTGCAGCTCATACAGATTTGCATTTCGTAAAACACTGCCAAGGAGTACCTAGGTGTTTTGTGTGCAACTGGCAATAACTTTGTGGGAAATACTTGCCAAGTAAGTTTGGGTGATGCTTTTTTTCTCAAATTAACATCAGATT